CAGCTCTGAAACTTCTGCCAAAAGGGGCCTCCAGGCGGGCGCGAAAGCCACTGGCACGCAGCTGTTCGGCGACAGCTCGCACGGGATTTGCAGTATAAGCTGCCCATTCTTCGGATCGGACCTCGTCTTTGAAAACCATCAAGCACACGCAAACATCCTCAGGCAGAGTGACGGTAGCGTCATTGGCACACTGGACATGAAGCTTGCTGCCGCCAAGGTTGTGCCAGCAAGCATGCAGGAGCACGGAATTTCCAGAGGAAGTCTGCGCCGGCACGCCAATGTGGCCCTGGCAAGACTCGGCATCTGGGCAGACATGCCCAAGCACAACCAATCCAAGTTCGTCAGAAGAGGCATCCTTCCAGGCGGGAAGCAGGCGCTTTGCATCCTGGAGGTCACACAAGTGCACACCGCAGGCACCTGGCACAAGCTGCGGAATGATTGCGGCATTGGTGCCATCAGCATTTCGGAAGAAGCCTGGTGTCAGTGTAAAGTCAGCTGCTTTAGGCTTGGGCCCGGGACGGTTTTGGCGACGCTGAGCTTCCTGTTGCACCTGGCCTGCCGCCTTTGCAGCTCGAGAGGCCTGCTCCGGCAGGCTGACCGAAAACTGGTCACAGAGCTTCTGCACTTGGCCCCATCGGTTAACACCTTCCGTTAACTCCAAAGCCCTTTGAATCCGGGCCACACCTGCTTGTGCCAACAGGCGGTCGACTGCAGCAGTGGTCTGACTAAGTGCAAGGCCCTTGTCCAAGAAAAGCTGGGCAAGCTGTGATTGAGCTTCCCTGAACTTCTCATCCTTGGCTCCACCGCCACGGACCTCAGGCATGAAGGAAATCAGGAGAAAGCCCCCTTTAGAGATGAAGCCTGGTGGGCAGGGCGCGGCGCAAGCCTGCTGCAGCGCGAGTTCATTGTCGACTGCTTTTGGGCCGGAGTAGACCCGGACTGGCCGTATGGATCGAACTGCAAGGCCGGCCTGCTCCCATAGATCAGCGAGATCCTGGAAGGTCAAGTCAGTCGGCAGGGCACCAAGCCACATAGTTTGGCCCTCCTTTTGCACTTTAACTGGCACAGTAGCATCTCCATTGGCTTTGCTAGTGGCCTCGATGGAACGAAGGAGGCCCACCAGAAGCAGCCGGTGGAACAAGAACAGCAGGTCATGTTCCGGCAAGCGAAGCCGGTGGCGGCGAGGGGCGAAAACCAAGTCAGCCTGTACCCCGTGCAAATCGGAGAGACCGGGGAGCAAGTGGACAGCCCAACCGGCTGCCAGGAACACGGCAACTGGGAACGAGGAGCACATGGCCACAGTATCAGCCCCAGAAATGCGGACCCGCACCGGGCCAGACAGACTCCTGACCTCAAAGCACTGGAGCTGGTCAAGGTTCAGTTGAAAAGGACGGGCGGCAAGGGGATCAACGATGCGCAAGTTGACAGCTCCATGAAGATCAACCCGATCCACGATGAAGTGACCCTCGGCATTGAACCATCTATCCTCCTCAAAGAAACATGCACGTTGCCAACCATCCATGCCCATCACTCTAGAGAGCTGCCACAAGAAAGTGGGGCCGGAGCGGTTCAGAAGATAGTAGGCCGAGGTGCCAGTGACCAACATGATGGTCAGCGGGGAGGCCGGGCAAGGCGCCTGGACTGCAAGTGGCAGGGCCGGCAGGATATCAACCTCAAGACAGGCTTCTTCAGGCAAGTCAGCCGGCAGAGGGACCTCATCATTGTTGCGAAGAGGGCAGAGGTGAAGCTGCTCCAGACCCTCTGCAGGCAGGGACTGGCCGAGAAGCGAAAGAGCGTCTTGCAGTTGCACGTCAGGTGCGAGCACAAAAGAACACGCGTCAATTTCAGCTCGCAAGGCAAAACAGTGAAAGTCCGGGGCTGGCTCCGGGAGCTGTTGCCGTGGCTGCCAAGTATCATACACAGAAATGAAGGAGCGAAGCTGCTCGCCACGATGGCACATCACCCAACCGGAGCGGAACTCAAGAAAATGCACTGTGCTCGCAGTCAGGCGCATGGACAAACACTGCAGTAGGGCTTGTGCCGTGGAAACCTTGATGTCAGCTGGGCCGAGCAGTTGCAAGGCCAACGTGAGCGGGAACACCGCGTGTGCAGGTGACAGTCCGTTGCCCAACGTCCTCATTTGGTCCCGGTCATCACGCGACAACCAAATGGCATCTGTGGAGCAGTGCAGTATGGCGATTTCTGCGCCACTGAAGAAGCGCGTGGTTTCACCAACGGAGAGCAAAGCGCCATAAAGGCCATACCTTTCAAGGACCTGCGGGGAAAGCTCATGCTGGTAGTGGTACTGGGCAAGGAAGGTGGGGGCCCTATCACCCACCTTAGGCTGCTGCGGGCGACCCTGCGGGTGTCGCGAAGGTGGCATGTACCAGGGGTCCAAATAAACCTGAAGAGTCTCGGGGGACAACAGACAGGCCTTAAGTAAGGAAGGGGGATGCTCCGGCAGGCAATCGAAAGAGCCCAGCGTGGGTCGAAGTGGCAGAATAGGCCACTCGGCCAGCAGTGGCCGTAGTGGCACCTCCTCGCGGGCGAGGACCATCAGCAGACGCTTCCGAAAAACCGGTGCAACCTCAACCAAATCTATGCACTGCTCCCAACGTACTGAATAGCCAGCATCGACCCAAGCCTTTTGCACAATCGGGAAGTGAACATGCTGCTTGAACCCCGGCACCTGCTCCAACAGTACAACTGGCACCTGGAGGGCAGCGAGCTGTCCGAAGAGATGCAGCATGAGTTTGCCGTCTGGTGCTTCCAGACCTGAGCCTGTACCTCCAGTACTCCATGGTTGACATGGTGGCGAGGCACACAACACTTGCGGCATTGTGAGAGCGGGGCCCTGGGCCCACCATACATGTTCCAAGCTGGCGCAAATGAAGGCCGGTTCGGGGTCATCGGCAACATCAAGCAAGTCAGTTGCAGTATACACCTTATGCAAGGAGGGGTGGTGCTGCCTTGTTCCCTCAAAACAGCTCTCCTCCGTATCCAGTAACCATTTAACCCTGCAAGAGTAACCAAAAGTGCGGAGAACCTTGAGGCCTTGGCTCCAACCATTGTACCCACCACAGAAAATTTCTGCAACCTCAAGAGTGGTGTCCTGTCTGACAGGTCCAGCTCCTGCAAGGACGGCGCAACCAACAGTAGTATCGATGACGGGTCCGCTCGAACCATGCATGACTTCAGCCTGCAGAATCCGAAGGGTAGGCGAGTGTCGCACCACAGCCTGGCACATGGCCTCTGAGACCTTGACCACAACTGACACAGGCTGGCTTGCTAAGGAAGGCGGCTGTCCTTCAAACCAATCAGCCTGAAGCCTTCCAGAGACAAACCACAAGTTGCCAAAGGAATGAGCCCGGCCATCCAAAAGCACATGGAATGCAGCGCTGCAATTCATCGGAATATCAAGTGACTGTGCTGCCGAGTAAAGCAAACGCACATCCTGCCAGTAGGCCTCGGTTCCTAAGCCAGGATCCTCTGAAAAACCACGCTTGCGCCCTGATGAATCCATGGCCCGAATCAGTGTCCTAAGACTACCAGCTGTGCCTCTCGGAGGCTTCGGGCCCCAACAGCTGTGTTAATGTCAACCTACTATTAATAACCTCCCCCCCCCCTCGATTGATTTGGCGCCCGGGGTGGGGGGATTGATTATTGAGGGGGGGGTCGGTCGTCGTAGTACAGTAGTATAGTATCACAATAGTACAGTAGCACAGTAGTATAGTACAGTAGCAGTACAGTAGTAGCACAGCCTCTGAGTCCAGCTCTTCCGGCGGACAAGGCACGTTTGGTAAAGTACCAGCAATGAACAATGATCCTGCTGTCCTCTCCCTCCTCCTTTGAAAGCCGAAGCTTTCGCAAGCAAGGGCATGGCTGCTAAAGGTAGGTTATTCCAATCAACGACTCTGCTCCCACAGCTTGCTTTTCTTTTGAATCCAGAGCTTTCCCAATGAAGGGCTTGGCCTGTAAAGCTTGCTGTCCTTTTCAAGGCCTTTAAGGGCACCACCAAAAGGCCCTCCCCGGCGGGAGTTTATAATTGAGGGGGTGTTTATAATTGCGAAGAACGGCCTTTGTTAGTACTCCATCAGGATGGATTTGATTTTTGGCTCCGGGAATAAGGAATTTTATTAAGGAAGGCATGGTTTCTGAGGCCCTCTAAAATCTGCGGTTTCGGAGTCCCGTGGCTTTGGACGCTAATTTAAGCTTTCCCAATGAAGGGTTGGGCTTCTAAAGCAAAAGGCCCTCCCCGGCGGGAGTTTATAATTGAGGGGGTGTTTATAATTGCGAAGAACGGCCTTTGTTAGTACTCCATCAGGATGGATTGATTTTTGGCTCCGGGAATAAGGAGTTTTATTAAGGAAGGCATGGTTTCTGAGGCCCTCTAAATCTGAGTAGCTGCAGTTTCTCTGTCTCTGCAGACCTCAAGCTCTCGCAGTAGCTGCAGTTTCTTTCTCTCTGCAAACCTCCAGCTCTCGCAGTAGCTGCAGTTTCCCTCTCTCTCTCTGCAGACCTCAAGCTCTCGCAATAGCTGCAGTTTCTCTCTCTCTGCAGACCTCAAGCTCTCGCAGTAGCTGCAGTTTCTCTCTCTCAGCAGACCTCAAGCTCTCGTAGTAGCTGCAGTTTCTCTCCCTTTCTCTCTCTCTTTCAACCAACACACAACAACACAGAACAAGAAGTATCTAATTTCGGGGATTTGGGCCGGCAAGTTTTGTAGTTGAGGGGGGATCTATAATTGAGTTCCGGGGGTGGGGTTTTATAATTGAGGGGGGATTTATAAAAAGTAGGTCAACATTAGTGATATATACAATGACTGATCGGACGGAATCAGATTGTCAGGGACCGGCATGCGAGTTTTCAAGCAATCCCCTAAGAATTTGAAACCCCCACAGGAGAACCTCGTCTGGCTTGTCCGAGTTGCGAGAGCGTAAACCCCCACAGGCCAAGCCCTAAGCGTTGTGTGAGAGTGAGCGTTAGAACCCCCTCTGGAGGAGATGCTGAGCGTGGTCTGTGCGCTACTACCAGACGACCCGTACGAGTTCATGACAAACCATGTCGCGCCAGGGGCCAGGTTTAGGATTCGGGGCGACCTAACATATACAAGCCGGAAGATTTTGTAATACTATTAAATTGTTTAACAAGGGGTTATTCATGCAAGAGAAGCGTCTATTCTCATTATATGGCCTCCATAGTAGCTGACTTTTCCACCCCGACTCAGAAGCCCCTCTGTTCTAGGCCGCTCGCTTTCATCCTGCCGGTCTTTTTTGTGCCCAAAGAGATGTAGGTTGAAAGTTCAGGGTGGAATTCAAGCCCTTGGGGCGTTCAAGAGCTGTATAGGATTAGGCCTCAAACCCCAAAGTTGCAGCATCTTGCAGCCTAAAATTTAACCCCTGGCGAAAGTTGAATCAAGATTCCCCCGACGTAAGGGTTCTTGAAATGCATCCAAGTCTTCTGAGAATTTGCAACGATTTGTTTCGAAATCAGGTATGGGTGCTTCATAACATAAGAGGATGCATACAGCACACGCCTAGTTAGTTCGTAGGACCCGTAGTGTTCAACCCCATGAATATCCTCATGTTTACCAAGCCTCCACATTCGATGTTCTCTGAACTTTGAACCCTGAGTTCCTTTAGTCCGAACGTATCAAAGCAAGTTCCTAGGTCAAACCGTCCTGCACCCCCTCCGCCAGAGAGCGGCCAACTGGGCAGTGGCGCGTTGCATCTTGGCTCCTGGAGTCTCAAATTTCAGGATGCAAGGGACCCTACTTCAGAGCACTGCATAGTGCTAGTAGTAGTAGTAGTAGTAGTAGTAGTAGTAGTAGTAGTAGTAGTAGTAGTAGTAGTAGTAGTAGTAGTAGTAGTAGTGGTAGTAGTAGTTTGCTTTACAGTAAAGGTCCTCAGAAATACCCTCGTATTGAGACGCTGCTTTTTGGAGTTTTGGAAGAATGAGTGTTTGGGAACACTCGGAGTCAAAGCTGTGGTCCAAGGGCCTTACTGTACGCAGGGTGTCTTTGGGCCCAAAGCCTGGAAATTATTTCGGTCCCTCCAAAAGAGCCTGAGCAAGGGTCTCTGGCCCGTGAAGGGCTGTTGCGGTTGCCGGTGGCTTGCTTTCGGAGCATGTCGTCCTCTAATTGTCCTCTAATAATAGCTAGAAGATGGATTGGCCAGAGCCAGTGACACCCTTGGAAACCCTGAGCTCGACAATCTGAGAGATCGAAGCCTCGAACCTCAAGCCCTGGAGGCCTCGATGTAGAGCTGCAACTTCAACCTCGCCATGAATTCCAGACCCTCTCAGTTCGTCAGGCCCCAGTCATTTCTCCCTGAACCTTCAAGTGGTTCCGAAAGCCCTCCGACGCACTGAGTGAAGCTGTTATACTGTCATACATCGCCGGTGACCTGAACCCTGTGGTGCAAAGAGGTGGGTGCTGCTCCCGGGTGGGGATCCGCAGTGCGGGGACCTCAGGGGCAGAAATTGCTATGGGTCGGGTCTCAGATGTCGGCAAATACGGGTGTCGAGGGTTCGGCACTCAGAGGTCGGGTGAATAGTTCAGGGTTTGTGGTTTGATCGGCTTCATTATAGCGATAAAAAAAGCTGATTTGAATGCGTGCTCGCATGTGGTTTTGGAGTTCTGCATGTGTACACCACCAGGCATTTGCTTCTTTTGGTTGCAAATAGTAGCAAGCTAGGTTAATCCACTAGCGACTTGGACCATCAGGGTGATGCCTCTTAAGTTTGTCAGGTTTTTCAGGACCTCGATGACTCGGAGAGGTGAGCAGTAGAGCCAGGGAGAGAGAGGGGTGTTAAACCCTAAGCCCGACTCCACTACCCTAAACTCTCACTCGTAGACCCTAAAACTGCAGCCTTAACCTGCATCCCAGGAGTTCCGAGCCAGAGGCAAACTAGGTCCGCCAGGCGCTTCCCTACACCTAAGCACTGTGAGACCTGGGTTTAGGGGAAAGGACTGGGCTTAGCTGTTTTCGTTAAAGCAGGGTATGCAGTCGACAAAAGGAACTGAGACCTTTTGGTACCGTATACAGTCTTTAGGCGGAGCCGAAACGGGTATAATGCAAAGGGCCTCCGATAACAACCCAGTACTTTGAGGTGCGGAACACTGGAGACTTCGGCGCTGTTGGCTGACAAGCAACTTGCGAAGCCGTTACGGATTGGTTCTGAAAGACTGTCGGGGTTTAGACTTTTGGAGAGGTACGTGAATTTTATGTTTTGAAGACAACCTGGTAGAGATGTCAGATTCGGCTAGATTCCGGACGGTGGAACATGAGGCTTTCGGGTTGGGGAAGAGATATGTTGCGGCAGTTGGCTTTTGCTGTATACATGCCCACTGTCCAAGGATCCTACCTTTTGAGGTTCCGCACGAAAGCATGGCTCCTGATTCTCAAATTTTCTGCAGCTCCCAGTCCCAATGCAGGAAGGGTTTCGATTTGGCGGGGCTTGCCCGGCTGAGCGCATGGAGCTTTCAGGTTTAAATCAGGGCGGCTTTACGTTTTTCATGGCTCCGGATGTTAGTGCCGCATCAATTATTGCAATCTGTGGGCTTCTTCGTGCTAAACTTCAGGTCCAAGTCAGTCTTCGCATCCCTGTCTGGGTAGCAATAAGAGCCCGAGACAGGCACCGCAAATGCTAGTTCAGCCTCCTGAACCCTCCAAGTCCCGGAATCTTATGGCAGCATCCCAGGCAGAGGCACACTCTGCGTCAGCACAGCTCCAGCGACGGTTCAGCAGGATGGCAGCAAGTTGCCACTCATCTGAACTGTTTTTGAAAACCCTGCAGTGGCAATAGCCATGAAAACGCACAACAATCGTCCATGTGATTATCACCGCCACAGCAAACAATAGGGCAGCAGTACCTATCGTCATCCTCACCATTAACATCGAGTACAAATGCTTTTGTTTTCATCTGGACTCTTCAATGCCCTAAGCTGGGATTCAGAATCGGTACCTAAAGTAAGGTTGCGAATGCCACAATGATTCATCCGGAATGTCTCCAACTTTTTGGTACATACAGAGAACCTTGTGTGGAGCTCGGAAGTATATTGAGGCGGTTTTGCAACGGCCCGACTCCACGCACAGTGCCCGAAACCTAAGAACAACACCTCAAAACGGTTAAGCCGCAAGCTGGCAGGTCCGACGCCATGTAGCTGTAAACTACCCTGACTTGTAAGGATGTACCGGGCGCCCGACAACAAGGCGCCGACAAGTTTTCCAGTGGAAGTGGGAAGCTCCTATGGTGAGCTTTCAGAGGACACTTGGCACATTGGCCCTTCTGCTGCTGGAATTAGTCTTGTTTACCCTCCTTTGACGACGACGACTACTACTACGACTACGACGACTACGACTACGAATCCGGCGACTAGTACTGTTGTTCACTAGTCATGTTCACGGTGGTCATAACAATACTGATACTAATCTGCCGGCTTCTAAGCAACGAATCACAACTTTTCAGAACTACTACTGTTTTATTATTCGAAAAGTACTGTTGCGCGCAAGTTTAGTCCGGAACTGTAAGGACTCGTGTAGTAGATTGTAGCCCAAAGACCCCATCCTACGTTTCACGTTGTCCTGGGCATTCCCATTAGCGCCATGCAACCCGAACACATGCCAGCAAACCCTCCCTCAGAATTGTGTACAGGCACGTCTTGGCATGCTTGTAACGGCAAACAAACAAGAGTGCTTTTATTTACATCAAGTTTTGGTTTTCGCAAGCTCTCGACTCGCCAATCCAACACATGCGACTCGCATGCACTGGACCGTAAACTCTTGAGCCATAAACCCAGAGACCTGTAGACAGCAGGGAAAACTATAGATCATGGTCGCATCGCCCTAGCAAATCATGCGGAGGCCACTTGGGACTGTTTGTGTTCTCTGACCTTGTGAGGAAGGGTCAGTAGCCAGGACAGTATGCATGGTGTTGTATTGTATGTTACAGTATATTACAGTATAAGTAATATCGCATAGTATAGTACAGTACTAGATAGCATACAGTATAGCAACTTGTAGCACTCAGGATGAGGCTGCACGTCCCTTTGGCTTCCAGGTGAAGAACAAGGTCCGGCATATGGGGTCGTAGGGGTTTTGTGGCTTGAGGCTTTGGGTTTTGGGAATCACTCGCCTGTACGCTCCGGAGACCCTTTTTGAAATCATGGAGGCCTGCGCAAGGTAGAGTTTCGTTCGCGGTATAGCGTGATCTACTGTCTGGTTCTTGGTAGCGAATGAGGGAATGCATTATGGAGACTATTATTGGGGATTAAAAAGGAACTACGACAGGGATCCATTCCCCCATTCCCCACTAAGCACCAGACAGTCTAAGGATGCCTTACACTACTCAGGGTTGCTTGCAACGGGTTAGGATCTTTAAGGTCTATTTTTGTCGGAAAATTTTTGAAAATTGAGACCCCTGATGAAGAAGCGCCACCAGACTATACAGTACAGGAGTCCGAAGATGGGGCCCTCGCGGGTGTTTACATGTTGGCGGGTCTTATAAATCTCGGCACTGATGATGAGGTTTGGGCTCAGGAGCTCATTTTCGGGGTTTCAGGGTCCCTGTAATAAAGTTGCCATCGCTTCTTCTTCGAGCTTGCCTGCAAATTGCGGAATCCAAAGTGCTAGTTCTCCCTGCACTGCCTAATTCCTGACCCCTTAACTTGGCACCCTGGATTGGCTTATAAACCAAAGCTGGTAACTTGTCGAGCACGAGTGACAAAAATATGTGTATACTTGGAGCAGTAGGCTTGCACTCTCAGCATCCTCAAGTATTCCTCGAGTCCTATGTCCATGAACATCCCTCGTGCTTTTGTTCGGTGTTGTTTTCGCGGGACTCCGCTGTTCGCAGGGCTCCAGCCTACTCCTGGCGGCGGGTTCGGAAGAGCAGCGGGATGATTCTACGAAGCAGTCCACCTCTTTGCAAAGGTTTGTTGGGCCATAGTGGCAGTGAGAACTATCCAAAATTGGCCTGGACGAAAGGCTGAGCTAAAGTTATATGATTTTCTGGTAGAACAGCTTGCAGGAGACATGGAAGGCACAAGACCCTGAGACTAGTCGGCGCCCTTTGCATGTCTGTGCAAGGGTTGATGTTGAGGATTCGCAGAATGCAAGATTTGGTTTAGGGTCTGGAGGTTTGATGTGAAGATATTCTCAGCGTGTTAGATTATCATTATCCCTATCATTTGCATATGTATGTGCAGATGTACTTACATACCGAGTGTGGAGTACCTTATGGCTGTACTCGTTGGTTAGGTTACTTGATTTTGTCTTGTGGTCAACTGTCGGTACTGGGATTTGAACGGTGAATGTTCAACAAACGCCGGTCTGCAGCCAAGGAGTGGTTCAACCTTCTTGGCCACTTCTCAGACCCCGATCGCCGAAAGGGACCGCCACCAGCTGTTGGAAAGATCCTGTCGCCACGGGCAGAAGGACTTGGGGGCACTCAGGCGGCCCGTCAACTTTCGGTCGTTGTGGTTTAGGGCTCAGTTGACGGTCTATTATATGATCTATAGAGCCTATATGTTGTGCGCAGAGATATATGCACATACACGTACATACATACATCCGTACATACACATACACCTAGATGTAGGCGTATATATGTACATGTACATACAATTACATAATACTTATACATGTGTATATATGTATATATACATATATTTATAATGTATGTACGGGTGTATGTACAGGGCTGAGCTCTGGGTGTAGGGGTCCGTGCCTCCTAGCCAAGAATGCTACACACTGCAATTTCTCACATACCCTGTGCACCCTACCTGGAAGACGGTGGGCATAGAAGGTTCGTACAGGGCGAGGGCAGCTGAGCTTGGGTTTCTGCATAGTTGTACGACACGGAAATATCGCCACCTAGAGCCCTAAACTCGAGAAGCCGCGAGGCTGAACAATCTAGACCCAAAAACACCTCCCCGCTTGTCCAAAACCCAAATACTTTCATCACTCAAAGAACCGCGTCTGGTGGAGTCCTTCCTAAGTCCCGAAACCCTGAACATCTCAGGCGCTCGAACCCTATGTCAGTGACCCTGACACCAACAGCCCCAGACTTCCTAAGCCAGGTGGTGGACGAAATCGGCCCGACGGACATCCCAATGCCAGGTCCCAAACCGAGCCCCAAGGAGGCGGACTCTGCTGGCGTGCTGCTGCCTGGTCAGGTTAGTTTTGTGGTTAAGGTTGTGTGGTGTTCGTCGTTGGTCAGCTAGGCCCTGCAAAGAGCATTTTCAGATATTGTCCTGCATCTACTTCTTCTGTGCTTGGGGGTCGCCAGAAGAGGAACAAAAGAAGGACCCACAAGACTCGATGCCCTGGTGGCAAGATGCATCGTCCAGAAACTAGTCACTTCATTTGGGGGCCCGAAACTGTAGCGGGCATGTTCTACCAATTTGAAAACAGCTTCTGACGTGTTCAAAAACTGCGAGGAGGATCCCTTCAGCCTAGTCCTGTTGGCGAGATCCGGGGCTTCTAGTAGTGCTATGTAAAGGAGAAAGAAAACATATCTCTGGAACCTACATAGAGTCCTTGCAGCCGGCCTGGTTTTCCTGTGCTTCCCCTGTAGGCATGCACAAGACCAAGTCCAGACACCCCTCCCTTCCTTGTTGCTGTCTCCCGTACTTTGTTTTTGTTGGAATGCCCCTCCCTGTATTGTAGTGCCTTCCTGGACTTCCAAACTCAAAGCCCTACCAAGATGTTCCTCTTTTTCTCCAGCCTCTCCCTTCTAGAAGAGGCTATCCCTCATGCGACATGAACAGAAACAACGCCAAACCGCGCACCTACGCCAAGTCACCAGGTGTAGGAGTTGACGGTCGAGGTTTGGCGCTATCAGATGACTACACACGTTACCGATGTTACTGGGAAGCTGTGGGAAATTCGGGAGAATGGGTGAACATCGAACTGCGAGAACCTAGACCTAGATAGTTCAGCTCCCAACCCTATAGAAACCCTTACCTCCGGAACTTCCTGCGCCTGAAATACATATATGTATATATATGTGTACATGTACATATGTATATATATATATATAGAGACATGTGTACTAATGAGATGTATACGCACATACATACTCTTTAAATTCATGCAGAGAACGCAGCCGGAAGCACTAAACCACTGGCGCGCGAAGCCCGCTCATGTCTGAAACAGCTTAAAGCCTAAATGGAGCAGATCTTGAACTCATGTCCGGTAACATGCAGGACGATATACATACATACATACATATATATATATATATACATAGGTGTGGACACAGGTGAACAAACAAACATAAATCTTTAGCCCTTGAACGTCCAAGGAAGCCAATCTTGAAGTCAAAGCCATCGACCTCCACAAACGCGCCGGTGCCGGCCATCCGAATCCCGCGGCGGATGCCCTCGGACCCCACAGAGGCCGAGGGACTTTGCGAGAATAGTGTTCCTAAAGGATACCTGAGCACGAACCCAAGCAAGCCTTCATCAAAGCTTTGAGGACGGCTTCCCAGGAAGATGTTTTTGCTTCGCAGGTTTGCTCTTGCAAGGCATCCTTCCGATCCGAATCGTCTTGTCAGTACAGAGGTGCCCAAAATTCCAGAGAATCCAAGTGTAAGGCCTGGCAGCTGAGCTTGCAACCCTTGTTTTCTTGAGGGGATACACACAACCCCTTCTCGTCTCTTGGAATGAAGCGCACATGAAATGGCCAACTACGAAGCTACTAAGTACTAGTAAACTAGTAGCTATGTTATGTTTTATAGCTATAGCTATACTATGTTATTTTACTATATTATGTTATATAGAAATAGTAGAAGACAAGAAGCTTCGCCTTGAGCTGCAGAGGCCATCGGCGACAGTACTCGGCGTAGCTCCATCCGCTTCTCTGACGATGCCGGGTTCCGGTTAAGCAGCCGTTTCTTAAGCTGCTATACGAAGGCAACGACACCAACTATGATGTCCATAATTACTAGTACATGTGTATGTGCATACACTTAAAAACACATCCATACACCCCTTCCCCATAGCCTTCCTGAAGAAGATCTCAGGATGTGGAGCGTCGTGAGTTTGCCGTCTCCCGCGCAGAACCTGTCCCTCAGAATCTGCACCCGGTCTCCAAGTCTTGAAGAGCATGTCAGTGCTTGTTTGGGGGTCGACTAATGTGTCTGAACAAAACCTAAACCAGAAGGAGGTCGACCTCGGACCCCTTGTCTCCAACGCAAAGTTTTGAGAGTGTGGAATGTCAGTTTGGATTTAGGGCTCGGGGTTTAATTTCGTTGCTGAGTTTAGAGTTTAGGGTTGCTTGTGGATGCAGGAGGCTGCCGGCAACCCCCCCACAAACGCCCTGACACTGCGGGCTTCGTCCTTGCCAAGTAGGAGGGAAAAAAGTCAAAGCGTTGACGGCTTCAAGAGTTGCGGTTTTAGGAAGATGCAGGAGTCTGAGGCTGAGGCGGCTAAGTAGTCAGGAAAGTTCCAAACTATCCAAACGCTTAGATTCCGGAGCCCAAGCCCCAAGCCTCAGACCCCTAAAACCATACTCCCCAAACTAGTGAGAGGCAGGGAGGCTCCTAAATTGCGCGTGCTGTGCCTCAAAACGCGAGAATCTGGTATGAATTTGGGGCTAGCTGAACTTGTTGAGCCCAGTTTTACACCGTAAGCCCTAGACTTAAAGGGGTTATGCGTTATATGAGTGTTGGGCTAGGGTTTAATCTACCCGGGTTTCGGAGTTTCGGGCAAGCTTAGGGTTTAGGATTGAGGGGTTTAGGCTCCCAGCTTTTTTAGGCCGAAAACCCCCCCCCCAGGCGGGCGCACGAGAGCCGGCGAAAGGCCCCTGTCCTTGTCGCCACGGCCAAGACGGCGAGCGGTCAGCCGGTACAGGCGGCCAGATTGCTCTGACTTTTGTTATTAGTATAATTGTTATTGTTATTATTATTACTACTATCATTATTAGTATTAGTATTAGTATTAGTATTAGTATTATTGTTATTATTATTGTTGTTATTATTAGTGTTATTGTTATTGTTATTATTATTATCATTATCATTATCATTATCATTATTATTATTATTATTAATATTATTATTATTATATATATATATATCTATCTATAACTTTGCCACGCTTCCTTCTTGAATACGGTGATTTCTAGTCATTCTATTCCGACTATTCTGTTGTGAGGCTTTTAAAGTTTGCGGGGTTTAGGGTTGTTGGGTTTGGGCTCTAGGGTTTCAAGGTTGGGACCTTCGGGGTGCAGGTACCCGGCAATCGCAACAGGCCTAGATGCAGAAATGGTACGGGTTTCAGAGTGGGTATTTGGCCTTGAACCAGCACACCCTCCTCGGCATACTTGTTTATCTCGATCATATAACACCTACTGAGTCTCCGGCTCCTCCCGCAGGGGTCAAGTTGAGCTGGTGGCTTCGGGAAGTAGAGCACTGAAACAACCCAGCAAGACCAGTCATGGTCGGGCATGATAAATAGACCTGGCAAACGATGCAATACACTTGGCGCTCTGAAACTACCAAGACGACGCTAAAGCCGAAATTCCTTTAAACCTTCATCAGGCTGTATGCAACCCAGTAAACCCCTAAAGCAGAGACAGAGCCCTGTAGCCCTGTAAGTCGCATTGAACCCTGGATTCCTAGGTTCGCATGTCGCCCCGCACGAATTCGAGTCCCGGGACCCCTCGGGTCGTCGTGCAGCCCACTGCGGTCCGCACACCGGAAGGCACATGACAGATTGGGGCTTTGGTTTTAAGGCCGTGGTCGGTCCTTGTTTTCAGTGTTCGCACTTTCTGATGGAGTTTCTAGGGGTTGTGCGGTCGGAAAAATTCTACAAGATTCTTCAACTCTCGGGTTCTATAGAGCGTGTTTTTTCTTTGGGGCACGCCGCTGCCAGAGGCATCAGAGGCAATTGACGAATATGAGTAATCAATTACGACGACGACAGGGATGCCGGTGAGGAGCATGCTGGGGATGGTGATGGTGGGCACGACAAGGTGTTGCTGCTGGGTTTGTTGCGCTCCGGGGTGGACTCCAAAGCCCTATAACCCCCACCTGAACCCAAACAACCATCGGCACGAGGCCAGCAGCAGGGTGGGCAGGACATCTCGGACCCGATCGATGCGAATGTCGTAGCGGATTCTTCCCAAGCGCCTTCAGCCGCCGCTGGGGCTGTTGTTAGGAGCCCAGAGAAGCAAAATGAGGCGTCTATGCTGTGGGCACTAGGACCCCTGTAGGAGGGATTCTAGACATCCTTTGTGGTGAGATCCTTGCGTTTCGGTGATCTCGTGGGCCCATAGGTGTAGTAGACCAAGCCCAGGATTGCCTGCATCCTTGGTACCTTTGGACTAGTCCTCCGGAAACAGGTATCAAAGTGGCCATGTACATGCGCACATACATGTATGTAAATCCATACATGCACACAATTTTTGCAGTACACATGCGCTCTAACAGAAATTATGAAAAGCTAGCCTCCCTCGCCAGTAGTTCTTTTGGACGTGGATCAGTTGCTTGCTTATCTCCATTGCCTGGATTCTTGGTGTGCTGTGTGGATCTACATGGCTTTCGAGTACGTTTGACCTCCATCCTGCACCCCAAGCCCGCAAACCCTGCCCAACTTCGCCAAGGACGCGAAACCGTCCGAGGCCGCGAAGCCACAGGAGGTGGCGGAGCCCGAGGCTGCGACTCCGGAGGCTGCGAAGCCAGCAGAGGTTGCGAAGCCACCAGAAGCTACCTAGCGGCATCGAGTGCCGGGTGTTGTGTTCAGGGGTGGGGGGGGTTCAGGAGGCGTGGTTGCACATTGTTGCCTGTATGTTGGGACTTGAGGGACCCGTCTCAGTAGGCAGCCTTGTTGTATCAAAAGTTTCATAGCTTCGACTGGTACCCAGGGCCGATGCCCTCAATGCTGGACTGCAGAAGCCCGATCTGCTGCAACCAAAGTCCTAAAATCCTACACCGACTGGATCCTCGAAGTTCGAACGCTAGACAGAACAAGTCCAAACCCACCTCAAACCCCGCGAACGTGGCACGAATCCTGTCCCCGCCCTGCGACTTCCTGGGAATTTCGAAGTTAGAGCTTACTAGCTTCTCTTCCAGATGATGGCTCGAGTTTGCCCCTGCCCCGCTGAAGTTGTTTGCAGAGAACGCCAGAACTTACCATCTCGCCCGAACTCCAAATCCGGTGTTCTTTCCTGCATACGGGTGACCTGAATCAGGAAGAACTCCTGAAACCACGCCCAAGCTTGAAACGCTGAGCCACAAAATGTGGCACATGAGGGCTCATTCAAGCCGGGCATGAAAGTTCAGCTCGAGCATCCTGTGCCTCAGAAACTAGATTTGGGTTTTGGGGCGCATTCTACTGTCATTATTCTAGGAACCACCAAAATAGTACAGGTAATCATTTATAGGCCCCTGTATTAGCACCCCTTTCACTTCGACTCCTGCAAAACCCTTCGGTCATAAATGGCGGCCACCGAGGTCCCCACAGGACCGAAGCAGGCAGGACTGTGCATCTCCAGGAAGTCACTCATGGCTTTCTTATATCTGATAGGTCGCCGAAGGAAATCCTGATAGAAGCATAATGGAATGTTATGGACATGTAGACAGCTAAAGACTCGTATTTTGAGTTTACTGTGAGCATGTGTTCGTTCCCCCCCAACCATACCACCGGCCTGAAGAACAGGGATTTTTGGTACACGGCAGACACAAAGAGAAGTCATTATGCCACTGAAGAGAACGACCCTCATAAAGATCCCGTCAGTTGGGCGAACTGCGACAGGAAATTTACAGGGAACGCAAAGACGGGGCCCGCCACGAAGCCCGCCCAACTTCAGGTCAAGCTTGTTTATGGTGCCTTCTGATGCCTACCCTGTACTTTTACAGCAGAGAAGCCGTCCTAAAAGTACGGGTCGGTGTGACTGCTTTGTAAGCCAGCTTGGTTTAACCAAAACCTCAGCTGATCTAGCATCCCGCTTTGGGGTATCTGACACCTTCGCAGGAGACCCTGACACCTCACAAAGAAGCCTACACCGCAAGCCCTCAACACTCCAATCCCTAGCCCTGCATCGTAGTAGGTCGTAGCTTCGTCCTAGGCAGGCGGGAGGCAACAAAAATCCCTAGCCCTTGTGCAGACCCTCCACACAAGTCTGCGATCGTCTACCCCGAAGCCATAGTTTGATTTATTGGCCCCAGCCCCTGCTCCGAAAAAACGACTGCAACCTGTTGAGAACACCGAATCAACTTTTCACGGCCCCTACACTATGTGTTTTAATATTCCCACGGCCCTCCAACGACAGGCGCCCTCCACTCCGACCGTAGCAAAGTCGGCGGCGCCAAAGCTGAGCCCCGAAGTGATGCAGGCCGTCTTGGGTTCAGGGTGTTGGGGGACATCGTGTGATTGTGGGCTTAAGACCTGTAGATTGGAGGGTCTGTGTATAGTGGTAGTCAGACAGCCCAGCTGGCCCCGAAGCTAAGCAATACAACTAACAGACCGACAGGACCTAACACTTCCTCAAACAGTTTCGGGTGTGCTCTTATAATGTTTGGAAATACACCGTCCCTATAGTTGCTTTTGTGGGGGGGGGGAGGGGAGTTCTTTGAGAGGGGGGTTGGCGGTTTGGTTCTCGAATCTTAGGGGCTTGGGCGACTTCGGAGTTCTTGCGCCTAGGGCTTCTCTTTGGGATCACTTCTTGGCATTTCGTTGCAAGCGCTTCGATGCTTTAAGGAATTCATGTCCGATGTTGCACTCCCCAAGGGTCCATGTGCTCATGTAGTATATACATTGGCCTTAAAGTACTCCCTATATTGGTACATTGGGCCCAAAGTATATGCTATATTGTGGGTACATGGACCCTCAGGGTCTCTGCACTGGGATCACTCGCACAGAAAGGTTTGGTGCTGGAAGCGAATGACTTACCACTAAGCCTTGCGACTGCTGAGCTTGCGGGAGAAGCAAAGCCGCGAGGTTCAGACCCGAACACGCGAGGCCCGTGAACCCCGCGCGAAAGAGAGAGAGAGAGAGGTAGAGAACACTAGAACCCTAAACCGCTTCCTGTGGATCGAACTGCTTTTAGGCTTGATGGGTGATACCCGACATGGGCTCATAGCCTACATTTTTTGAAGGTTTGGATTTGGATCCCTAGGTAAACACCAACACCCAGCACCTTCAACCCTACGTTCTTGGGGACCTCGCTATTGCCAGGATGCTTTCTTCTTTCTTAGGGCTTAGGGTTCTTTAGCACACGTATATAGGACAATGTACCCCAATATCCCGTTTTCATGATCAAGGCCCCTATGCGACGTTGAACCACATTGAAGGTGAGAATATTATACTATACTATGTTATATTATGCTATATTATATTATTACTATATTGTAGTATTACTAGTTCATATCATATTGTAGTGAATCGGATGGGGGGAGGCCCGGGGCTCAAGGCAAGCGCCGAAGGCGCCAACTCCCAGCCCGGCCAACTGCTTCATGGGGTGTGAGATTTCAGAAATTGTAGGAGGAGTATGGCATACTTGAAAAGACACCAAAGTCTTCATGCCAGGAGCAACAGTTCCCACAGGAGTGCTAAAGAAACATCCAAGGCTGAAGGCCTGAGTCGCTTTTCCGTGCCTGTTTGCGAAGCAATGGGCGCTTGCGAACATGTCGCTACGCTGGCCCTCCTGGTGGGCCTGACTGTGAGCGTTTCTGACACAAGTTGCTTACCGGACAGTATCCCCGAGAGCAGTCGGCGTTATCTCCAAGAGCCGGAGGGCGACGTGCCCATCCGGATCATGGTGCTTGATTGGGCATCTGCTGAGATGGCGTCCGCCCTTGCCCAAATCTTTATCACTGAGGTCCTCGGATATCATGCGGTGATCGTTCCAGAGAGAGTGCTCACTAGTATCTTCTCCTTCCCTGTCTTGGCCGGTTGCTCCGACTGGGAATGCACTGAAGCCACTGCTCGCAGCCATGTGGCTTTGGATGTCTGGGTCACCGGAAACTTAGTAGCTGAGTGGATACACTTTACACACGTTTTGGGATAATCTTACCCACAATAAAGCTGCAAGTGTACACTTCCACTTTTTGGGGCCCAATGAGCTCGGCAACTAAAGGAAAGAATGCAGAGTTGCAAGATTTCGAGGAGCAGAACCCCAGTCGCAGCCCGGAGGACCTGGGCTCCATCGGCTGCTAGGACTTCTGCCAGAGCCATCGATTTCGTTCGTTCAGCAGCAGTAGTAGTAGTAGTAGTAGTAGTAGTAGTAGTAGTAGTAGTAGTAGTAGCAGTAGCAGTAGCAGTAGTAGTAGTAGTAGTAGTAGTAGTAGTAGTAGTAGCAGCAGCAGCAGGAGGAGGAGTAGTAGTAGTAGTAGTAGTTCACAGTAGTTCAGGAATGGTAGTGGTAATGGTCATCGTAGTAAGAAAGCGGATGCCTCTTCTTCCTGGGGCTTCCCATCCGTGGATCACACGCTGAGCCCGACACCCCGAAGCCAACCAAGGTTACGCCGGCCACAACGCTTTGTGCTTGAGTGGGGCCGTGCGGGATGCGGCCTATGGAGCTATCGGCTTGGCCTTGGAGTTCTACAAGAGCTATAACCTGTCCTATCATCAGGCGCAATCCCTCAAAGCACAAACAAGCCGTAGCCTCTAAATCCCCTTATCAGGCTAACTCTTTCTTCGATCCGCTCTCTGAGCTGAAGCTGGAAGATTTCCTGCCCTGCAACACCAGCTTCACGAGATGGACGCGGCAAGTGCAACTGGAGGCTTACCTTCACTGGACTGGCGACGTAGGAGGCGTGACAAACTCCAGCGGATCCCTGCAAGCTCATTGCCCGGACGGCCATTTCTGGCTTTCGCCTGCTTGTCGGCATGATCTCGTGAAATGCATTCCAGTGGTAACTGCCGGTGATGGCTGGTCAGTTCAAGTAATGATGCAGTGGGCCTTTTTCCATGGTATGCCCGTGGCCGTTGGGATAGCCAGGGACTTCGATCTTTACGCAGCATACGCCGCGCAGTCTCGCTCGCTTTTCTATTGCTGGCTCCCGGACGCTACGCATGTTCACATTGACCCTTCCTTGCTACAATTCCCACGCCATGAGCCCAGTGAGTGGGAAGCCTCTTACTACAGGACTTCCGATGCAGAAAGCCGCATCGCCAAGATAGTGTCAAGAGACCTTAGATCTAAAGCACCCAGAGTTGTGAAGTTCCTCGAGAACTTCGAGTTGGACCTATCAGGAATGCAGGACCTCCTCTCTGCTGCGACTAACAGCTCGGTGGAGCAAGTTGCTTGCGAATGGGTGAGGTCTCAGCGAGGCCGATGGCAGCAGTGGCTCCTTGGCCGCACTTGATGGAGAAACCCTGACGCGGCCGTTGGGAAGGACCATGTACTGATAAGTCGGGAGCCTTTGAACGACCTAAACATTTTCAACTACAGGGGTACGCCACTCCGGAGCGCTGTGTTACGCGGGGTTTCGAGTTGCGTGCACCGATTGGGCTCAGAGACTCAGACCATCCGTTGAATTTCTCATGCCGGTGCTTTCAGCGGTGTGCAGGGAGCCTGGACGGTAAAGTCACGCATGGCATAGTATTCCTGAAGCTCGCAACCCTAACTTTGGATCTTAAATTAGAAGGAAGCCGGCTAGGACCCCAATGCAGGGTGCGAGCCTGAAAACTGTAGGTGATTAGACTCACAGGTAAAGGTCCTAGTGTTTCGCTCTTTTGCCACCTGTTTCTTACAGCACGGTGACGCCGTCATGCGAAGTAAAGGAGGCCTCAAAAGACTCTTTCTCATAAGCTGTGTGGACCCCGCACCGTTTAGGGTGTACTGTAGGGTTTTGGATGTAGGGCTTCAGGGTTTAGGGCCTAGGGGGTGTGTGCTCCTTGGTTGATGTGCTTGGACTCGCAGGGTCCCCGTCGAGACGCAGTGCGTGCCGGGCTACGGCTTGGCCACGGATGCATCCGGGCTCAGCGCGCACGTGGATAACCGATCTGAGGCTGCGGGGTGCAGCATATGCACGGCCGGCAAGGTCTCAGAGCAGTTCTCCGATGAGCATGGAGCAACCTACCGCTGTGTCCCTTGTAGCCTGGGTACGGCACAGAGCGCGCTCGGCCAGACACTTTGCACTCCATGTGAAGTTGGGACCTATGCCGACCAACGGGGGAGGGCCCACTGCCGTCGCTGTGAGCTGGGACGCTACGCAAATGTCACAGGAGCATCCGACTGCGATGCATGTGGGGGTGGCAATCGCTCGACCACCAGCCGACTCGTATCGGCTGAGTCAGGGTTTAAGTGGATCGAGGTGGATGGTGCTGCCACGAGGAGTTTTTGCGGCTGTGTGCCGGGGTGGTTTTTGAGCTCTGACGGACTCTGCATGCCTTGCATCCGTGGCTCGAGCTGCCCAGGATCAAGTCAGATGGAGCTGCTGCCCGGATACTTTGCCTTGGAGCCAGGGAATGTATTTCAATGTTTCGGTGACGCCTCCCGGTGCCCAGGTGGTGTGCTGGGAACCTGCGCCGACGGCCGGGATGGAAATTCTGTGACCTGCTATGATTGCCTTCCTGGCCTTCAACCAGACAGAGATGGTACCTGCAGGCCTTGCACCGGCACGTCCTACGTTGTGATACTGTTTGCGGCATGTGCAGTGGTGGTTCTCATTGCCGCCCTTTACGTCTCACTGAACATGGATGTTGACCGGACAACGCAAGAGGCCCACCTATCTCTCTTTGTGCTGGCTATGCGACAGTTCCTCACAGTGGCACAGCAGCTTGCGGTAATCAACAAGTTTGGGATCGCATGGGAGGAGCCAGTAGATCGTATCCTGCGCTCCTTCGAGTTCATGGGTCTGAACTTGGACATGCTTGCTATCTCGTGCCTTTCTCGCATGAGCCCAGTGACCAAGTATGCCTTGCGCACCTGCGCTGCCCCCATCTCCGCTTTCGTGGCTTTGCTGGTGCACCTCGTGGCCCTCGCCATCAGGAATCGAGGTGAGAACAGCACCCGCTGCGAGCTGAGATTGAGCCGACTGCTCCGCACAGTGGGCTCGGTCTGCAAGATCTTCTTCATTGCCATCCTATCTTCTATTCTCGCGCCCTTCCAGTGCAACGAACATCCCAATGGCATGTTCACGGTGCAGGAGTACCACTCCGTTTTCTGTAATAGCCGAGGCCCGCATCTAACCATGAGCATCGTAGGCGCTGTGGCCTCCCTAATGCCCCTCAGCTTCCTCGTGCTTTGCATGTGGATGACATGGATCGAGCTTCCGAAGCGCCTCGTCCGCGCAGATGCGACCTATTTCCGAGCGTGTGCCTTTTTGTGGTCGCGTTTCCGGCCCGGAGCCGAAGCTTACTCTGTCCTGTACCTCGTGAGGAACGGGCTGCTTGCTGTGGTGCCAGTATTGCCATCGGTATCTGCCCAGATCGTGACAATGAACTTGATTCTCTACTGCAGCTCGCTCGTTGTTTCCTTCGTTCAGCCCTGGTGCTCGAAGGCTGGCAATCTGCTGGATGTCATGCTGCACATCGGCCTGTTGGTGGTGCTGGACATGGCTTCTGCTTTCGCCCGGTTCGAAGAGACTGGGCCCTGGTTAAGGAACTTAGTTCAAGGTACCATCGTGCAGCTATGCGGTTACAACAGATTATAATAGTACAGAACCACCGTCGTAAATGGATTTTGACGGGTTGGCGGTCAACTTATGAGAAGGACAGCGCCACATCAGTGGCCATTTCTTTGATCTTCCTTCTGCACATGTTCTTGGCGATTGTCATCGCAGCGGCCTACGGCATTCTGCTGCATGTTGCACGCCGGCGCCGCAAGCCATGGCGTTTCTTCCTCAGCCACCAGAAGAGCACCACTGGATCGTTTGCGAGGTTGCTGAAGACCCAGCTTCTGAAAAGAAGCTCCCGCTTTACAACCTTCATGGACACAGACGACCTCCGCGATCTCACAGAGCTTTTTGGCTACGTTCGAGGCACGCAGACTTTTGTGATTCTCGCAAGCCCTGGGATCTTGCAGAGGAGATGGTGCATCGGCGAGGCCGTTACGGCCAAGCTGTCGAAGATCCCCACAGTCATGGTGAGATGGCCCGGTTTCCAAGATCCAGATGAGCACTTTAGGGAGAACTTATCCTTTGCTATTCCTGGCATTGAAATCTTGGCTAGTTACAGTCTCTCCCTCGAGGATGTTTCTGAGACCCTGACATGGATAAGCACCGTGGAGTCCTTGGCCATGCCGACCATGCTGAATTTGCAGACCATCGGTCGTCTTTGCGACTCCTTGACCGGAGCCGTCTCACCACGTTTGATTTCTGAGGAAGCCCGCTCGCCTGACTGCGTTCTGCTGGTGGATCCTGACAATCTGGAAGCAGTGGCCACGGCCTATGTTCTCTACGAACTTCTGCTCCCCTTCTTGAACACAGCGCTTCGGTGTTCTTTGCCTTATGTGCTCAAAAAGGGCCAGGGTGTTCCTGTCAGCACCTCGACAGCACTTCTGATTTGTTCCACGGGGTGCTTGCATTCCTTCCATATGTCCAACTGGATTCTGGACGCTGTGGAACTGGATTGCGGTGTAATCCCTGTCATTGCAGAGCCGGGCTTCGTGGTACCAGTGGATTTCAAGTGGCCAGACGACGGTGACAGGATCCTTGACTACGCTGAGGTTGTGCAGGCGATCTTCAAAGGGATTGCAACGGTGTTCGCCCCTCAGCTGTACTCCAGCACACAGGAGGACTTGCAGCTTCGCGCAAAGCAAATTGCCTACCGCCCGCAGTCGAAGATGCCAAAGCTCGGATCTCGGCTCACTCCGACCCTGAGGTTGGAGGACACTGGGACTCGAAACCCTCTGGACTTTGAGCAGCTTGGGTCCGTCGGGACTGCATCGGGAAATCTGCCACAGGCTGACGGAGCACAGTTGCATCCCGTGGGACTGGATGAAGATGAAGAAGAAGCTTCTCTGCCAGTTGACAAGATCATGTCTATGTAGATGTAGCAGATTATTCTTTCGGTGAGCCTTGCAGCCCTGGGATGACATGATGACGTAGGATGTGTAGCAGCGAATGCAAGTTGTTCTCACACATAGCCATGTTGGTGTTTATACTGGGCTTCAGCACGTGGCTCACGTGTGCTTTAAGAGAATTCGCAGAGTCGTGTCCTGATGACTGGTTCATCATCGCTCGACTCGACCATTTGGTCATGGACGTTGAGGAGTTGCTCTGACCCCAACGGCGGCTTTATGTTCGCATGATAGTTCTACCAGTCTGAACCTCCGAAGCAGGAGATCCTGGCAAACATTTAGTCTCGACCTGCTCGTGCTTGGTGCTGAGTGGTGCTGAAATCTGGGCAGTCGGAATGTGAGGCACCTGAAGCCCGATGCCACCCGAAGCCCTACTTGTCGCCAAGACCTTTAGAAAGCCGTGCAACCCCAACAGGTTGCGGACGACAAGGCCCGCATTGCACTCGTGGGGAGCGGTCGGTGGTCAGAGTAGCCATTGTACACTTTCTCTACATCACTGTATGAGCTTCATTCTTGTCGAAGCAAAGCAAGAAATGCAGCATTCGCAATGGTGAAGGTGTTTTTGGCTTGGGGCCCTTCACGAACCCTATAATATAGAACCCGTGCAGAACCCCCTGTAACCCCGTACAGAACCCTCATAGATCCTAATAGATGCCAGTGTGTTTTACCCGTAGGGCGGTCGAGAAGGCATGCGAGGGGAAGGCTAAGATCAGAGCCTAAAGACCACAAAACAGTGCCATCTAAACCAAAACAGACACTTGTTACTGTTGTACGTCCCTTCAAGTTCTTGGGTTTACAACAAGACACTGTCAAACAAGTAGGCCATGGCAGCTTAGGGCTTGTCCTAAATCTGCACCCACCGCAGATCCCACAGATTTCGAAGTCTCGCACTTGCAGCCGAACACCTCCGAAGCACACACCAAAGCGCACTTAACCCTGCAGTCAATATATCCCGAACTTCAGCGAAAAGACTGAAGCTAAACTCCCTTGCAGGTCCTCCGCCCGATGAGCCCCATGGAGCCAAGCCGCAGCCCCACCGTATCTTGGCTTTGTCCATCATGAAGATCGTGTTCGGGCTTGTGGGTGCCTTAAGCCGCCGCCGCTACCCATTAAACTCTCTACGCCCCAAAGCTCCAGGTAGCAAACCCGACGCAACACCTTCAAGCTCAAGCTGAAAGTCTTAGACCCTGAAACCCTACTCCCGTAGCCTCGGAGTAGTGGATCTAGAAGAGCCAGACTGAGACTTGTACCAACCCTGGTACGACCCTAAGCATATGAAAACTTGATCTGGAGCCTTCCCTGCCTTGTGCGAGAGTGAGTGTCGAAACCCTCAACCTATGTTCTCTGGTTGGAGTCCTCTTTTCTTTGATATCCTCATGCATGGATCGTTTGCCTGACCTGTGAACCAAGAGTACTGCGATCGGGGACCAGGAGACCACGTCTGGATGTCCCAGTTGCAACCCTCAACCTTTGTATACCCTGCCACAGGACCATATAAATCTCTACAGCACCCTGCGACACACTTAAAACTGAAAACCCTATACCGTAGGCCCTTTTTACCGTAGGCCCACTATAACGGAAAACCGGCACAGTAGCACCCCGGTTGCACTAACAGCGAGGCTGTCAGCACACCGCACAGCGAGGCGCAAGAAGGACAGCAGTGGGGAGTTTTACTGTCTTTTTGGGGTTTCAGATGGGTAGAAAAGGGATTTGAAGGTTTCCGTAGCGGTTTATGGTGTTCTTTACGGGCTTCATTTCAGAATTTGGAAAGTGTTGCGGGGTTCAGGGTTTGATGTTCCCGGGCCTGGATGCAAGAGGGGTGTTGGTGCCTTGAGGGCCAACACAGTTGATGGTACTGCACAAGGCCTGATGCAGAAAGAATAGAGGGCATCACGTTTAAACCTCGGCAGGCTGTGGTCGTCATAGAACCCTTATGACCGTTACAATTTCGAGGTGGGGTTTAGGTGAGCTTCTTAAACTTCCGAACTCGAAGGGGGTTTAATCCCCGAAGCCGCCGATCCGATGGGGGCGAAGACTCGTAAGGGGTAAGCCAGAAACTTACTTGACTTGTTTGTAGAAGTAGGTGGGGCCGAAAATCAGTGGAAGAAGGCTCGATGGGGGACGATCTTATTAACGATTGACTCACCGGTCCCTAAACCTCTGGTTGAGGAGGGTATGCCAGGGTTGTTTCCCTTGGGGTCAACGGTATCGATCTCCTTGGTGCTATTTTTCAAAGGAATGCGCCCTGGTTCGGCCACTGAAAAACAGAGATAAATGCTGCATCAGAACGGATAGTACCCAAAACCTTGACTGGTAGCCTCAAACAGACCCAAACCCCAAACAGCCCCTGCCCGAATTGCTCACCTCTTTCGGCTCCGGGTAAGCCCTACGCAGCCGGAAGGTTTGCCACCCCAAAACAGTTCAAGGTTTGAGGTCTTCAGAGAAGGGGTTTAGGGCTTTCGCTTCAGAACTGCGGAGAGAACCTACAGTCCTCGTCAAGCCTACGCGAAGCCCGCCGATTCTAATCGCTTCGGGCCTATAGTATTCGGGTTGTCCTTTGAAATCTTTTCTAATTTCCCCCCACTGTCTTCTAGAGAACCATGATAGCAAATAATCTTCAAAGGGCTGAAAGGACAAGTCAGTATTGAAAAGCGTGAGAGGGCCTGAGGTGGGTTTCAGTTTTGGCTCAGAGCCCATGAGGTCAGAGGGCGGACCTGCGCACCACAGGTTTAACTTGGGTACGGCCCCCGCTCAGTAACAGTTGGATAAGATTCATAATATAGTTATATAAGGCCCTTAATAGGTAGCCCTATTATAGACTGTTACAGTATGGGGGCCGTACCCAAGGATTAACTACAGAAACATATGGGTGGCTGTCACAATTAGGGTCCCTTTTTGGGTACCCTAAATAGTAGGCGCCGTATTGTCATAAGCACCCAAAAAGGGACGCTAATATTGACAACCACCCATATAAGTAGCTGTAGACATGATGTGTGTAGACAGCATGCGTAAACATGTGTAAAGATGGAATGCAGACATGCATGCGCAGATACATACCTTAGCATCGGTCACCTGTATCGAGGACGTCTCGGTGAGACGATGCTAAATGAGATCCTCGCCTCTGTGGCGGAAGAGGCAACTCTCGTTTTGCTTACAGGCTTCGCACCTGTGTTTGTAAACCTCGGAAAATGCTATTGCTGTATGACAGTATCCCTAATCACTCAGAGCGTAACTGTAAGCTTGGTTTGGCCTAACTTTCCGGATCTCCCGCAACATAAAGGTCGGAATCACTCATGACGGTCTACTCGTTGCAATGGATGCCCTCACATGGATACAAACCACTAAGCAAGGCCTCTCCGAAAACTTCGGCAAACAAGCCTCCTCGAATTGTCGGGCGAAGCTCCTCAGGTCTCCAATACTAAGGTGAAAACCAATGAATCCAGAAGTTGAAGAAAGTTAAATCTCGAATTGACTCTTGGTTTCGCTGCCTTCCATACTTAGGTGTTCGAACAGCCCTGAACCGCGGACCAAGCGCAAGGGTGTGTCAAATTGGGTCCTTTGGTGCTGGGGTTTGGAACTCAGGAAGTTGATACGGTAGCGGCCTAACCAGTTTTTGCCGAGTTCCTTTTTGCGATTATAGTATAATGTACCCCAAAACCCTATCCTAATCATTAAGGCCCCTACGTTACTCCAGCTGAGAGGCTCGAGAATTGCACCCTGAACCTTGACCGGCTCCCTCTTTTGACCTTGACTTGGTGCCTTCATTCCTTTATCGCAGGCATTTAGAAGGGGCCCGGCGGCGAACGGAGTCTAGATTGGACTGGTATCTTCCATTTCGATGCAGCTTCGGAACGGCTTTGGGGTAGATTCTCGTAGAACCATACTACACGCTACAACTATACTAGTGCAGACCTCAAAAACTAGACGTTGCCTGTGAGACAGGCCCGGTCTTCCGTGCCGGGTGATCGCCCTGCCTCCCGATCAGGCCGCCTGAACTTTTGCGGAAACCAGCGGTATGGTAGAGTCTGGTCAGGATTCTGTCATGAACAGGTGAGGTAGCCAATTCAAACCAAGCTACGGCAATCGAGGCTACAGCTGGTCCGGGGTTCAGGGTTGTGGGGCAGTCCGCATGTCCCTACAACCCACGAACCGAAAGGTAGGAGGGAAAAAGGGTAAGGGCTCCATCTTTGGGCCTAAGGTCACGAGCTCCACATGGATTGCCAACAAGAGGACTAGACTAGGCGACAGATGGAGTCGAGGCAACGTCTAGATCTCAGAACCCGACTGCTCAGCCCCTCGAAGGCTTGTCGTGAGGTTCAGCATCTAAGAGCAACGCGCCCTTGGGCAGAAATCCCAAGGCCCCCGAAGATTCGAAAGCTCCGAGTTCTGAACCCCTAAGCCCAAAGCTGTGTCGCTTGAGCTTGCGATGTGGGAGTCAACAAAACTCACACCTTGACCCGCTGACTCCATCTCCCCTATAGGAGGCAATCCCTGAGTGCTCGGGTGCAGGGCGGTAGACTTAGGCGCTGCAATACTCAGAAACGGGTTTGCGGGGGTTGCGGGGGCAGGCTATGACATGCTGAATTCTGTTTGGACTAGAACAAGGAAGTACTGGTAGTAGGAATTACGGCCCCTGTGTCCGGATACCTTATTAATCCAGCGGAACCTACCTTTCTGTAGGGTCCTGAGACGCTTGAGAGTTTTCCCGAGGCTGTGGATTCGGACCCTGCGAAAAGAGTATAAAGGTTCTAGTAGATTCAGGCTTCCTCATGATATCTGGGAGAACTCCTACGAGGCACCTTACAGGTTCTCGGAGGGTTAGGAGCTTAGGCTTCTATGCCTCAGATAATTTTGCGGCGTTCCCGGCGAAGATCGGCAAGTGAAGTGACGCCTGAGCCTTGCGCTGTTGGGTCCAGCTAGCACCCCATGTAATTTCTGCAGGGCTCTGAACCCGAGTGCCGCATCCGGAG